AAATCATCCGGGTTTCTTTTTGTGAATCAAGTCTCCAGCTTCGAGGATGTTTAACTGCCAAGGGACACAGCTGCCAAGACTCAGCAGCAACCTCGTTGGCTTCACTTCTTGGTTCTTTTTGAGACTGCTCAAGTCCCCATGACAGACTGTTGGTAAAGACATTTTGTTGTGACAAGGTTGAGACTTAGGTATTTAGTGACAGAGTTTTGAGTATCCCAGGGTGACCTCGAACTCACTTTCCGGCCTCCTACTGTGGTTTTGAATGATTGAAAGTGAAGTCCACTGCCTGTAATCCTAGTTTGACAAATGTATATTTGAAGGCTTGAAATTTTCATTTTCTTTTTAAAATAAAGTCTATTTAAACTCATATAACATAGGGGCTGGAGAGATGGCTTAGCAGTTAAGAACACTGTGCTGTTCTTCCAGAGGACCCTAGTTCAATTCCCAGCACCCACATGGTGGTTCAAGATTGGTGGTAACTCCAGCTCCAGGGGATCTGATGCCCTCTTTTGGCCTCTACAAGCATTGCAGGTACCTAGCACGTTGACATATATATAGGCAAAACACCCATACACATAAAATAGAAAAGGAATTTTTAAAATAAATAAATAAATAAATAAATAAATCTTTTAAAGTGTGTATAAAGCTACAATTGACTTGGCTGCATTAAAAAAAAAAAGAAAAATTCATAATGAGGTAACAAAACCCTTACCAGTATCCAATATTGGGTTTGAGAATAAGAACTGGGGCTAGAGAGATGGCTCACTGGTTAAGAGTGCTGACTGCTCTTCCAAAGGTCCTGAGTTCAATTCCCAGCAACCACATGGTGGCTCACAACCATGTGTGATGGGATCTGATGCCCTCTTCTGGTGTGTCTGAAGACAGCGACAGTGTACTCACGTAAGTAAAATAAATAAATTTTTAAAAAATTTAAAAGAGGGAGAGAGAATAAGAACTGTATAGTCACAAACACGAGCCGTTGTGACTGACTCACACATGGGCTTGGACTCAAGTGTGTCTGTGAACTAGCAACCAGGGAAAGGAGAAATAAAGACTTCTCCAGCCAGCCTGCGTTGGCGTCTCGTTCACATTTCCTGGTTTCCCCATTCTACTCCCTACAGGACTCTGACTTGCAGAGGTAACCTTGGTTCTGGGCGCTCCAACTGGGCATCTGTGGTTTCTAAACAGTCAACTCTAGGATGAGTTCTTGCCTTCTTCAAAAGTAAAGAGTGCAGTGTTTAAAGCTTGCCCTCTGGGCTACCGTTCATTATCTTTTTATTGATCCCTATATTTATAACTATTTGCTTAATTTTACGTGTATGTGTTTGGCCTATATGGATGCAGGAGGAGCCCATGAAGGACAGAAGAGTCATCAGCTCCCCTGGGATTGGAGTTACAGATGGTTGTGAGCTGCCATGTTGGTGCTGGGAATCAAACTCAGGACCTCTGGAAGAGCAGACAGTGCTCTTAACCTCTGAGCCATCTCTCCATCCCTCTCTTTTAATTTTTAAAGTTACATTTACTTATTTTGTGTGTTTTCATTGTATGGAGGTCAGAAGGCAACTCTAGAACTGGATCTCTCTTTCCCTCATGTAGGTCCCAAGGATTGAACCCTGGGTACCTTGGCTTTGTACCAAGTGTCTTCAGCTGAGGCATTTCACTGGCCTTAACTTTTCTTTTCTTTCCCTTCTGTTTTTCAAGACAGATTTTCTCTGTGTAGACTGGGCTAGCCTTGAACTCACAGAAATCTGCCTGCCTCTGCCTTCCGAGTGCTTATATTAAAAGTGTGTGCCACCACCATCTGGCAACTTGGTTTTTTTTCTTAGTGCATTTAGTTCTCTCTTTAAATAACCTAACTAGACTGTCTGGACAGAAAGCCCCAGGGATCGTCCCATATCTAGAGCTAGGGTACAGCATATGCTGATGTACTTGGCTCTTTACAGATCCAAACCCAGGTTGCCATGCTTCTGTAGCAATTACTTTACCAGCTGAGCATGGTGGTAAATGTGTGTAATTTTAGTAATCAGGGGGTTGAGGCAGGAGGATTGTCACAAGTATGAATCCAGCATAAACTACAAAGTGAATTCTAGGCCAACCCAGGTTATAGAGACTCTCTCTAAATAAATAAATAACAAGCAAAGTCTCTACTTATTAGGAACATGGAGGAGTTCTCCATGGAGCCAGGAGATGGAACTAGGGTCACGTGACCTGGCTGAGCCTCCTATAAACAGTACCCAGTAGTTTAATAGCCTAGAACACTACTTGTTTAGGTCTTGTTTTCCTTATGTGTAAATCTGCATGATAAAACCTTCCTCCCTTGGTTGGTTAGGAGTTTTAAGGGTTGTGAAACATCACGAAGAATTTTCAACGTTCTATAGTATTTACTGGCAGCAGGTGTAATATTTTAGGAAATGTACTAACCCCATTAGTTGAATGTGAACCTGTGTGGCCTTTCAAGCCAGCCATTAGGAACAATGAAAGTCCCAGACCTGCCTATCTGGCTTTAGAAAGAGTTACAGTCTCAGATGATAAATCTAGTTCAGACATTTGGGGACACAGTTAAATCAAAGTGACAAAAGTCAGCATTAATACACATTTCTCAGGCTGGAGAGATGGCTCAGTGGTTAAGAGCACTGACTGCTCTTCCAGAGGTCCTGAGTTCAATTCCCAGCAACCTCAAGGTGGCTCACAAATATCTGTAATGGGATCTGATGCCTTCCCTTCTTCTAGTGCGTCTGAAGGCAGCTACAGTGTTCTCATATACATAAATAATTCTTTATAATTTTTCATATGCTGCTTATAAATTGATATTCATCCAAAATCAGTGTCTTGGCTGATACACTGATCATGAAATTTAATCAAAGGGCAACCCTTTTAATCTTAACTATTAAAGATGTGTTATCTCTTATTACCTTTGGATGGTAGGTAACAGGTGTTAAGTGTTGGCTCAGGATGTGCAAGGGTCGCTCAGACATAAAAGGAATCGGAAGTTGATTGTCCTATATTCAGAATAAGAAAGGCAGCAGTCCCTCCGTTGGTGTGGAGACTGCACAGGGGGCAGGGCAGGGGCACAGGAGCAGAAGAGGAAACTTCTGGGAGGAAATTTTATCAGTGAGCGTGTTCTCTGTAGTTCCAAGGCCCAGAGATGCCAGTGCATGATCTCATTACTGTGTTGGCTTTTTTGTGAGGTAGGTAGCGGTGATGATGGTGGTGGTGGTGGTGGTATTTGTGTTTGGCTTGTTTTGAGACAGGGTTTCTCTGTGTAGCCCTGGCTGTCTTGGAATTCACTTTGTAGATCAGGCTGGCCTCGAACTCACAGAGTTCCACCTGTCTCTGAGGGCTGGGATTAAAAGGCGTGCGCCTCCACCACCAGACTTTTGTTGCTAAGTGTTTTTATCAGAATGCTGACTGAGGTGGGAAACTGAAATCCAGGCTGGCCTCAAACTTGTTACTTAACTGTGCTGGTTGGTTTTTGTCACATACTGGAGTCCCTTTGGGAGAGGGAACCTCCTTTGAAGCATTGCCTTCCTCAGATTGTCCTGATACGGATGACTGTGGGATTTTTTTTTTTTTAATTTAATGATTGATGTGGAGGACCCTGCTCACTGTGGATAATGCCACCCCTGAGCAAGGCCATGGGTTGTATAAGAAAACTAAGCAAGCCATGGGGACCGAGCTAGTTAGTAGCCCTCTTGCATAACCTTTGGCTCCAGTTTCCTGACTGGGTTCCCTGACTTCCTCAGTGATGGGTGGTAAGGGGGAAGGGGAAACTGGGCAAAGTGGATACACACACCACAGTGGGAACATGAGCCAAATAAGGACGACCTTGATTTCCTGATCGTCCCGCCTTTACCCCCCAATTGCTAGGATTACAGGTGTTCAATGCGGTGCACACAGGCATTCCCTATATTTTTCTGCGTGGTTTTATTAGTTTATTTGGTGCTCGGCAGCAGTTTTAAAGTAGAATATTGTCAGCGCTTGCGAGATGGAGACAGGAGGATGAGGACCCCAAAGTCATCCTTGGCTACACAGCAAATTCTAGACCCTCTGTGGCGTCCAATCGCAACAAAACAAAACAACACGGGGCTGGAGGTGCAGCCCAACTGGTAGGTGCATGAAACCCTGGGTTACACCCGAGCCCTGCACAAACCAGCTATGGTAGATGTTTGTAACTCCATCACTCACACAGTGGAGGTCGGATCAGAGGTGCGAGGCCAACCTGGGATAAAGGAGACTGTCTCAAAAAAACAAAATAAGGACACCTCATGTATTAGAGTGGAGAGCCGGGGAGGGGGAGAAGGCAAATAAATGTTAAACCAAGCAAAACCTCAAAAGAACGAAACACCCGGAACCAGAAGTTTGTGCAATCGTTGCGATTGTGTAATCAACTGGTCTGATGACTTTTTTGAAGTACAAAAGCCACCAAGTCCTCGTGACAGGGAGAGATGGAGCCAGGTTCTTCCTCTCAGGGTTCCCCTGTGCGTTTCACAGGCCTCGAGCCTGCGGCGAACACAACCAGCTTTCTAATAGTTTGCTTCCAGGTGTTCCATTTTTGTTCTTTTCCTTTCTCCATCTTTTGTTCTTTTTGATGTTGTTTATCTTTCTGCCTTTGGGCTGCACTTCATATCCATCCGCCACACAAAAGGCGAGGCTCATCTTCCCGTGAGCATCCCGCGTCCCGAGGCTACCCAGCCTCTTTCACCGTCAAGTCCGCAGCTCGCTTTCCCGTCTTAGCCCTTTAGTGATGGAGCGCAAGCGTGGGCGGCGCGCCCTACCCCGGCTGCCCGGGGCAAGCGGCGGGGTCCCGGGCGGACCCAGCAGGCGAGGCCCCGGCCTGTGGCCTAGTACGCGGCGGGGGGCGTGGCGTGGCGCGCGGCCCTCCCGGCATGCCCCGCGCGGGGGTGAGGGGCGGGACTCTTGTTTTGAAAGGCCGGGTGACTCAGCCGCGTCTCCGCGGCCGGGGCGGGGGCGCGCGGTGGCCGGAGCTGGTCGGTGGCTCCCGGGGCTCCGGTGGCCGACAGCGTGGCAGCAAGCGGCCGGTGAGTGGCGGGCAGCCGGGTGGCAGGCTGGGCGGCGGCGCGGGCTGATGATGGCGGCGGGCGCGACGCCGCGGCCTGAGAGGCCCCGCGCGGGCTCCTCCCCGGCCTTAGGAGAAAGGAGAAGCCCGGTGAACCGGCCGACAGACCTCGCGGGGTACCGGTAGCCCAGGCTGGGGAAGGTCGGTCGAGCTTCTCCCGAAGCTCTGGAACCTTCTGTCGGATCCTGTCGCCCCTCTGTCGTCATCCTAGGCTGAGTGCAGAACCGGGGGATTTTTTTTTTTCCACGCAGATAAGAACTTTTTATAGCAGACAGTGTCGTCAGGTTTGCACGGTCGGGACCCCTACCCGTTGTGGGAGTTTGTCATTCTTTCTGAAGATTTCCTGGATTGGGCCGATTTACCATCTTGAAGTAAATCTGATCTTTTTAAAGTGAGAGTTCAGCAGACGAACTAACAGACGGGCAAGGAACTCTGACCAACTTAAGAAAATATCTCTCTAAGCCCTTTCGCGGTGTCCGTTTGCTGATAGGTCGTTGTTTACCTAGAAATCTGAGGTTGCTTTTTAAATGATCTGCCAGACAAAGTGTTGGAATGATATTAGTTGTGACGAATCGTGAATTAGAACGTCAATGCGACTCCAGAAGAACAAAAACAAAAAATCTTAAAGTTGCAGTTCTCAAACGTGTTTTGCAGGCTCCCAGAAATTAATTCTAGAAGCCTGGGGTGGGCCGCTGAGTCTGCAGTGTTGACAGGCACCCACCCTCCTTGGGCTGCCTTGGTAAGCCAAGAACCAGACCTTAGGAAACCACTATTAGTTTGGCCGAGAATTGTAAAAACTGTCTGATGTCTTTTTCTTTCTGTTGACTCACTCTTCTCCTGTTCCTAAACTGTCGGGAGTCAGAAAGCCCTGACTCTAAATTAGAGTGTGTGAGGAAGGATAGTGTTTTCTGGAGCCCTGACATCAGAGCAGGAAATGGCTTTTATCCATATCCTGTTATTGCCTTGGTGGGAGAAAGAAGGCTTGGATCAGGCTAACCCGGCTTGTTTCTCTCAGAAGCCTGTTGGTAGGACCATGGAAGCTTGAGCTTACCTTCAGGTCATAGCTTCCTTCCCCAGCTCTCTGTCTTCCTCCCCATAGTACCAGCCAGGGAGCTCGAGCGTGTAATTCTCATAACCTGGAGGTCTCTGATTCTCTGGTGCCAGCATCAGTGGTACTTGTGGGCTTTTAGTTGTTCTGGGTATCAGTTCACTGAATATACAGAATATCTGAGTGATGCCTATCTTACGCAGAGGAACTGAAGTAAGTCATTTTAGAGACAGTATCCCAGAATTCCCTTGCTGTCTGGCAGAAATGAGGGTCGGATGACTGCCAAAGGTGTTTTCTACATCTTGATGTCTCTTGAGATAGACTCCACAGGTGACCTTAAAGTTAGCCAGGAGGTTTTGGCGGTTTTCTTGGCTTTGGTGTCTTTGGATGAATGGTCACTTATTGATGGTTTTTTGTAGTTGTTGGGAGATGGTTTACAAAATGGTGTGCCTTTCTGTAGTGCTGAGCTTCCTGATTTTTCCCCTTCGTGCTTCTCACCTGCCACAAATGGGATCTCCCCAAGCTCCCATGGCTAACTGGAGTGAGAAGCCGAAGGGACCTGTTTGGATGTTAAATGATTTAAGATGGGAAAGCCATTGAAATTTGAACCTTAAAGGATAAGGGAGCACACTCTAAGTTTACCTAGCACAGCCTCTAGTCTTTCAGGTAAAGACGCCAAGGCAGGCTAGGGATGGAACTCAATGGTCCGGCAACTGCTCCGCGTGCCTGTGAGCCACTAGGTTTGGTCCTTACCGCATTCTGTACTTTTTTTTTTCTTCCCATTCTCTTTCCTGCTTCCAAACAAGAGTCTGAGGTGATAGAAGGAGGATTCCTAGTCTAGCCTGCTGCCTTTCCTGCTCTAGTTATATCTTTTAATGCTTCAGAGAGGAAACGGTGCAGAGAGGAGATATAAAGGGGTGAAGAAAACGGAGAGACTCGGATGTGGCCGCAGAGCCAGTGTCTCATGGGAGGTTGCAGGAAATGTGTGTTCTCACTGTAAACAACAGTGATGAAAGTGCTGAGATAAATCTTGGAAGGAAGCTTGAATAAGTCGGGAAAAGATAAGAACACGCAGATGGCTGGCTTACAAACCCGTGGAGTTAGCACTCCGCTTGTAGGAGATTCACTTTAGGAAAGACTTAATAAAGGTCGGGTTGTAGAAGTTACACGTGTGAGCCGTGTCCAGGACCGTCGACGCCGGTCTCCTCATAGTCAGGTTTAGTGGGTGTCCTAGTTGGCAGTTTGTTTTGGGGAGTCGGGGTATTCTATGCCTTTACCACACGAATGCTCTTCCCTTGACATGAGGTCATCAGATCCCCTGGATGGGAGCTACCATGTGGGTGCCGGGAACAGAACTCAGGTCCTCTGCAGAGCAGCAGTGCTCTCAGCCAACAGTCATCTCAGCCGCAAGTTGTGTAACCATCACCGCTGTTTCTTCTCGATTAGTCCTAGAGAGCTTTTAGATTTTCTTCATCTGTTTTTAAAAACTAACTTCGATTTCAGTATTTTTTTATGAAGTTGTTTATTACACTCTTTTGGGGGGGTGGCATGCACGCTCATGTCATAGTCTGCACGTGGAGGTCAGAGGACAACTTGCAGGTTATCTATTTCCTCCCTGTGGTTCTGGTATCAAACTCGAGCTGTTACCTTGGGCAAGAGCCTTTACCTGCTGAGCCCTCTGTTTTTCAATTGAACTTTTGTTGTCTGTGGTGCCTGAGGGTGGGGACTGGGCTTTGGGCCTGTTTGTGTTTAGTAAGCTCTCTACCAAGAGAAGGTGAAAAGAACTTAGTACAAGTCAGTGTTTGTGTGTTAGCTTATTTAAGTTACGTGTACTTGCTGGTGTCTGTGGGTGTGTGCACGGTAAGTGCAGGAGCCTGTAGGAGCCAGAAATCAGCATCAGAGATGGAGTTACAGAGGAGCCAACCACTTACTGCAGGTGCCGCAAAGCAAAGTGGGATTCTCTGTAAGAGTGGCGTGCACTCCTAACTGGGCATCCTCCAGCCCCTTTTTCTTATTATTTTTATGTAGTCTTTGAAAAATTGATTGGCGAACACGGTGTACACAGTGTGTGTTGATCGTGTTCACCCCATACTTTCCCTGCGACGCCCCTAGGTCCTCCCTATCACCTCTCCCTCCCAGCTTCATGCTTCTGAGCCTAAGTAGAGCTGCCGTGTGGTGCGGGACATGTGGGGTCATCGCCCGGAGCATGGGCATGCTGCCTGTGGCCTCCTCCCCACTCATGCTCTACGCTTTAACTGGCTTGGTAGAGCTGTTGATGTATACAGCAGTCCTGTCTGGCTGAGGACACGTGTGTTTCTCAGAGACGGTCACCTTCGGTCTTACATTCTCCCCACTCCTGCTGCTGAGACGTTCCTGAGCCTGAGGCAGAGGTGGCTCTAGATGTCCTCTCTACCGCCGAGCACTTGCTGTTGGTTTTATTCTTAGTCCCTTGGACAGTTCTGAGTGTCTGTGTTAGTCACTGCTCACTTTCGTATGGCGTTGTGGTTGTGGTGTTTGATGCATGATAGCTGCAGACATGCATATGCCATTTTAAAAAAATAGACTTTCAGCTATTGAACTCTCCCTGCTTCTTGATTTGTGACATGGATGACACTGAATTATGTTCTACCACGTAATATGTAGAATTCGTAGTACCTAGCCTGCATGGTGGTGTATGCTTTGAAGGTCTGTACTCGGGAGGGAGATCTCTGAGTTTGAGGACATCCAGGACTACGAAGAGAGTCATTATCTCAAAACAAAACAAAAAACGTTCCCTAAAACAAGTACACCAATTCGTAGGAGTTGGTAAAACACCACCTAGGTCCACCAGTGTTACAGATGGCTTTTACCAACCACTGTAAACCATGGAAGTCCACAGGAGCCTGTTTTCTGACTTCTAAATCATACCCGTTCCTTGTCTTCCAGGCTTCCTTTCTGACTAAGAATGAATGTTCTCCAGGGCAGTGATGACGACTTGTTATTGCAGCCAGAGCTCAGCTTCCTAGGAGATGAGGCCTTAGCTGCCACTCAAGAGAAAGCCAGCAGCAGCTCGGGGTCCTCTGGTCTTCATAGTCTCACTTGTCCCCTAGCTGCCAGGAGTGAAGGTACAGCGACTGGGGGGCTCTCACCCAGAATGCAGGTTGTTAACGTGAGCATAGACTAAGTTCATTGGCTTAGCATACCTGTCACGGTGTATCCAGCTGACCACCATAGAAAACCTCCAGTCAGCATGGCCTGTCCACCTGGAGTGAGGGTGTAAGACAAATGGCTACACGTTTGGAGCCAGGAGGCAGGGTGCCTTAGCTCTGGTCCTTACCATCTACTCCATGAGAGTTCATGAATGGCGTGGACAGAATTGTTCATAGTCGCCCGTCCTCAGAGGGCTCTGGATCCAGGTGCTAATGGCAAGACAGCTCCTGCTAAGTTGTTGTGGGCAGGCCCTTAGATGGAGTCTTCACCGTGGCTCGCTGGCTTTCGCACTGTGGACCAGGCTCTTGCACTCCGCAGCCCTCTTGCCTCTGCCTCCTGGGGATGGCAGGCATACACACCATCACACCCTAACTAACTGTTGCTTGTAAACTGGAACTCAGGTATTTGGTGTGTTTGGTTTTGGTTTTGGAGACGGTCTCTTGGTGTAGCCCTGGCTGTCCTGGAACTCACTCTGTAGACCAGGCTGGTCTTAAACTCAGAGATTCACCTGCCGCTGCCTCCTGAATGCTGGGATCAAAGGCGCGGATCACCACACTGGGCTCAGTTGGCTAATTCTTAACTGGCTGAATGTTTTATCATATTTTTCAGCCTATAACTTTAAAAAGGCAACTACAGTTTACTGAGTAGAGATACATAAAAATTTGCATACATATTAATTTATCTTAATAATTTTGCATATACGAGTGCTCTGTCTATATGTCTGGTGTCCATGGAGGTCAAAAAGGGGCATCAGATCTCCTGGAACTGAAGTTACAGATGGTTGTGAGCCACCATGTGGGTGCTGGGGATTGAACCCAGGTCCTCTGGTTGAGCATGCAGTGCTTTTAACCACTGAGCCAGCTCTCCAGCCCATAGTATTACAAAATTGTCCAATGTGGCTGCAACCTATTTTTGTTATGATTTACAGTTTTATTGAGTGTGTATGTGTGTGTTGAGGGAGGGGATGTTTTGTTTTGTTTTTGAGACAAGGTCTCAGGGTGCCCAGGTTGGCCTCCCTTTTTAGGTAGCTGACCTTGCACTTCTGATCCTCTTGCCTCCACTTCCCCAGTGCTGAGGTAGTACTGGGATCAAACGCAGGGCTTTGTACATGCTGAGTAAATTTCCAACTGAGCAGCAGCTCCTTGTTAATAAAGTTTGTTTTTTTTTTTTTTTTTTTTTTTTTGGTTTTTCGAGACAGGGTTTCTCTGTGTAGTTCTGGCTGTCCTGGAACTCACTCTGTAGACCAGGCTGGCCTCGAACTCAGAAATCCGCCTGCCTCTGCCTCCCAAGTGCTGGGATCAAAGGCGTGCGCCACCACTGCCCGGCTTGTTAATAAAGTTTTATTCGTGTTGTAGCATGCACATTCTCACAGTGACCAGAGGGCAACTTCATGGAGTCAGTTCTCTCCTCACACCTTTCCAAGGTTCAGGAACTCAAACTGCAGCTGTCAAGTGCGTGGCAAGCACCTTACTCACTGGGCCACCTCATTGGCTGCCCGTACAGATGCCTCTTGCAAATTTTAGACAGACTTAACTTTAAAACAAGTCTTTAGTCTACAGATAATTTTATGGTTTGTTAGAGATAAAAGGCAAATGTTCGTACTAACAATGAACTGTCCCAGGGTTGACCAGAGAAACGCTTGCTGTTTACATGCTGGTCCTCGGTACCGTGTAAACCACATGTGGTGTCACATGCCTGCAATCCCACCACTGGGGGAGGGGAGATGAGGGTCCCAAAGAAGTTCCGAGTTATCCTCAGACTCGGTGTTAGTGTAAGGGCAGCCCAGGCTACACAAGGCCCTGTCTCAAAAGTGGAGGAGAGGAATTTTAAATAGTTAATTTAAAGAGAATGGCTTTTGGATGTTAGGACAAAAGGATGAGATCCCAAGAATAAATCCTAAGGCCACATGCATTTGCTGCCGACAGCAAAGTGTGGCAGTCCAGAAGCTGATGTGGTGCTTGGAGATTCTCTAACACCGTGAGGATGGTTGGTTCTGAGAAGTTCTAGGAAGAGTAATGAGTTAGATAAAGACTTTCTTTCTGGCAAATTAAAAAACAAAAAAGCAACTTTGTAGAATAAAAATGTAGACTGTGAAAATTGAGTTTTAGCATACAGTAGTAGTAAGTTCCTAAAATACGGCAGTGCTGGGCTGTAGCTGAGCCTACAGTAAGTAGAACACAGAACCGGACAGACACAGAGCCCTGGCTACCATTCCCAGTGCTGTGACTGAGTGTGCCGGAGCACGCTCTAATCCCAGCACTCAGAGCTCGGTGGGGGAGGATCAGAAGTCAGAGGCTATCTTCAGCTACACAGTGAACTTAAGGCCAGCTTAGACTTCATGAGGCCTTGCCTCAAAAGTAATAACTACGGGGCTAGAGAGACTGCTCAGCTGAGAGTACTTCCTGCTCTTCCAGAGGGCTCCCAGGAGTCTGACGCCCTCCTCCGGTCTCCTTGGGCACTTGCAGACACTCACATAACCCACAAGCACTTGAAGAATGTGCACAGCAGATGTAAGGTATTATTTAGAGATGGAGACGAAACTGAAAACAAGTGATAGAGACTGCGGGCCACCAGAGCCCTGCTCTTCTGTCCCAGCTTTCCCTCTGTGCTGTGTTTACTTTAAAACTGCAGTTGCTCTAAAGTGTGGGTGCTTCTGCCTTTGGTCTCCCCCAACCCCATACCACACATACATGGAAAGAAGTTATCAGGGTCCATCCTGAGACTCTAGTTTTGTGAGAGGAGTTGTTTATTTGTTTGTTTGTTTAGGTTTGGTTTTCCAAGACAAGGTTTCTCTCTTTGTAGCTCTTGCTATCCTGGAACTCACTCTGTAGACCAGGCTAGCCTCACATTCAGAGATCTGTCTGCCTGGCTTTCAAGTGTCTGGTTTGTCTTTAGTTTTCTCTAGGCTAGTGTTTTAGGCTGTGAACACCTATGACTAGGTGGTTGTTCATTGGTTGCTGTTTTAGAGCAGACATTTTTCTGTAGACTTTAGCCCTTAAGTGACTTGGTTTTTTGTCTGATCTTTCAGACTATGCCCCTCAGGCAGCAGCAAGCCTTCAGTATCCTCACATAATGCCGCTTCCTGAAGACAGCAAGGGCTCGTGCTTCCAGAGTGGGAGCAAGCGGAGCCACGAGCCCTTCGTTGTTCCGGAGAGATTTGGAAACGGCGGTGGCTTGGGTTTCGGAGGCAGCTCTCACTCTCAGCCCCCGGAGAAAGTGACACTTCTTGTGGACGGCACGCGCTTTGTGGTAAACCCTCAGATTTTCACTGCTCATCCGGATACCATGTTGGGAAGGTACGACAGTTTGCTTGTGAGTGTGCTCTGTTGTGTGACCTTGCAGCAGATGCAGAGCTGCACTGCGGTGCACTGCTGACTTTCCTCTCTCCCTGCTCCGTGGCAGCGGCTGGGAAGGGGCTGCAGGAGCTGCTGAACCTTGACCTGCCCCCTGTAAACACATGGCCTTGCTCTCTGAGCTGCATGGATCAGAGCTGCTAAGTTGAGACCCAGGTCATGTTCTGTTCTCCTTCTGTGCAGAGCAGTGTTAGAAATAATCCACATGGCCCGGGAGCCGGGAAGCTGTTCTAGAAAAACTCACCCATTTCTAGTAGTTATTTTTTTTATTTTTTTGGTGGGGGCAGGGTAGGGTTTGTTGTTGCCTTTTGAGATGAAGTCCCATGACATGAACTCACTATGTTTGAAGCTGGCTCTAAACTCTGATGCTCCTGCCTCTACCTCTCAAGTGCTAAAATCACTATGACTGGTTTACAGTATCAATACTTAGGGGGACTCTGAGTTATATAGCCTGTGTGTGTATGTGTGTGTGTGTCTGTGTGTGTCTCTGTCTCTGTCTGTGTCTGAGTGAGTGTGTGTATGAGCAGTCCTGGACATTGAACCTGGAACCTACGCATGGAAAACAAGAATTTTACTGAGCTAGAGCCCTGGCCTGTTGCTGGCTTATTCTTTCTTGGTGTGTGTTGGTGTTTTGCCTGCAGGTTTGTCTGTGCAGTACATGTATGTAATGCCTGCAGAGGCCAGGAGAGAGTGTGTCAGATGGGACTGGAGTTACAGGTGGTTGTGAGCCGCTGTGGGTGCTGGGAATGTAACCCAGATCCTGCGTTGATGGTGAGAACAGGCTTCCTCACTGAAATATGTCAAGGTGCAGAGGAGCCTCACACCTTTCTGAGTCTGTGGCTGCACTAGCCTGTTGGAGTGGGCGATTCCTCACAGGTTAATGGTGAAGGCAGAGCTCAGGGTGCTGCCGAGTAAATGTTGGGCAGGACAAGGGGAAAGGCACGGGCAGCCAGGAGAGGTGTTTACACTGGCAGGTTCTAGGGCAGAGGGGAGGCATCCACAGCTCCCTCTGCAGCTGCCTCTGCAGTGTCTGCTCCACAGACCCATGCGCCCTTCTTTCCCTCTTCTCTGAAGGACTTTCCTGAGGTGACATTCCTCTGAAGACAGTCAGGTCGAAGGGTTGTGCTTTTAAATTATACTGCAAGAGAGTAGGGTAATGTATGGAAGAGGAAGAGATCGCTGCCTCTGCAGACCCTGCTGGAGGAGGTGATCTGTTGCTGGTGTCTTTCAGGATGTTTGGGCCAGGAAGAGAATACAACTTCACAAGGCCCAATGAAAAAGGGGAGTACGAGATCGCAGAGGGGATCAGCGCCACTGTGTTCCGCACAGTTCTGGTATGTGGCTCTGCGTCCTTCTCTGTCCTCCATCGTGGTGTGCGTGCTTGTGCTTGCATGCTGCAGCCCTAAGTGGTACACACTGTGTGACTGACTTTCGGGTCCCTGGTGTGCAGTCGTCACCTTCCCTTATCTTTGCTGCTTATGACTCGTAAGTCCTTACGTGAGCTCAGTTGGTTGTCAGGCTCTGTTTAGCTTGGGCAGACAGAAGCCACTTTGTCATCTAATGTGCCAGCCAGGTGACTCCAGGGTCCACCAGAGCAGAGGAGTATGCAGCAGGAGTGCTTAGGCTTAGAGGAGTCATTTCCGTGCATTTCTTTGCTCACATTTCTCCTTCCTGATCTGTTCACAGGATTATTACAAAACTGGCATCATTAACTGCCCAGATGGCATCTCTATCCCAGATCTCAGAGACACGTGTGACTATCTCTGCATTAACTTTGACTTCAACACTATCCGATGTCAAGATCTGAGTGAGTACAGCTGTCGGGGACACTCAGCCAGTACGCTCTCCCTTTGCTCAGAAGTGAAGGAACGTGGTGTGTTGGCTGAGGACTGCCGGAAGGTGGACGTCCCGCTCACTCACTAACCCATTGCTTCTCCTGCATCGGGTTGTGGGGAAGTGGAATAAGCACATCATCCGGGGAGTGTGGCTTACAACATCACCCCAGCACTCAGAAGACAAGAGGCTCACCATGAGTTCAGTGCTGGCGCAGGCCACAGAGCAACATCCTGTCTCAAAGAGGCTGGGCGTAGCTCACTTGATAGAGTGCTCACCTAGCATAGGGACTCAGGGTTCCGCTGGCAGACAGTAAGCAAGGCATGTGAGACACGCCTGTGATCTCAGTGCTTGGGAACCGGGCTCTGAGCTCCTGCTTGGCTCTTGGGTAGGACTGTGGTGTCAGCTCTGACAGGCAGGGGCACTGGGTGTCAGTGAGGAAAGGATCTGTTAACCACCAAGAGCCTAAGTAAAACTACTTATCACATGGCGTGCTGCTTCCCTGTGTGTCCTCTGTGAGGGCTGTGGGCTTAAATCTCCTTAGCATGTGTGTGGACAGGAACCAGTTCGTTCCGCTCTCCTCCCCCAGGTGCTTTACTGCATGAGCTGTCCAACGATGGTGCCCACAAGCAGTTTGACCACTACCTCGAGGAACTGATTCTGCCCATCATGGTGGGCTGTGCCAAGAAAGGCGAGCGAGAGTGTCACATTGTCGTGCTAACAGACGAGGACTCCGTGGACTGGGATGAAGACCACCCCCCACCCATGGGGGAAGAGTATTCCCAAAGTAGGACTCCCCCTCCACTCCCCCAGAAAATGCTTCCTAGAGCCCGTGCAGATACCACTGACAGCTAGAGATGGGCACAGGCACCTGGAGGGACAGCCAGCAGGACAGGTCTAACCTCTGTTGGGACCTCTATCTCCTCCCCAGTAGGTGCCATTGTCAGATCCTAGCGTTGGTAATTACATTCTCATTTCAGTGTTATTGACTGGTAAGAAAAGCACTTGGCATGAAGTTGTGAGGGCCTGGGCTCAGATCCCCAGACCCGACAAAAGCTGGATGTGGTAGCACTTGTCTGGAGTCCAGAGCTCCTTTAGTGATGTGGGAGGCAGAGACAGAATCCCTGGAACCCAGCCAGCCAGCCCAAGCTTGCACACCCAGGCAGACACACTCACCCACTGCGTCATGGGCACACCTTTTAAGGAAGGATGTGCCCTTCAAGGAGATTTAGCCTGCGGCACCCAGTGTCCTTTTGTGTATGTTCTCTGAATGTAAAAAGCTTTACACTCTGCAGTGTTCCATTCATAAATGTGCCACAGTTCACTTGCCTTGTATGGGTCACTGGAGGTATATACATATTCATATATGTGTAAGTATATAACATAGAAAGCATATATATGAATATATGTGTGAATATGAGATGCATGATGACTTTTAAAGGTTCATTTACTTTATGTATGTGAGTACACTGTAGCTGTCTTCAGACACACCAGCAGAGGGCATCAGATCCCATTACAGGTGGTTGTGAGTCACCATGTGATAGCTGGGATTTGAACTCAGGACCTCTGGAAGAACAGTCAGTGCTCTTAACCACTGAGCCATCTCTCCAGCCTGCATGATGACTTTTAAACAGTACTTTTGCACATCACTGTAGGATATTCCTAGACATCGAATGCCAGAGCTTGGGGCTTTGTAATTTTGATAGATGTCACATGCCAGGAATCCCAGCATGCGGGGTGCTGGAGGCGGGGAGAGGGTTAAGGTCAGACATCGTCATGGGTGTCATGGGTTACATAGCTCCCTACTGGTTGCCGCCTCCCTCCCTGTCTTTGTGATTAACCCTGGACTTTGTTTTGTTAGTTCTTTACAGCTCCAAGCTCTACAGATTCTTCAAGTATATCGAGAATCGGGATGTTGCTAAAACGGTGTTAAAGGAGCGAGGCCTGAAGAACATCCGCATTGGGATTGAAGGCTACCCCACCTGTAAAGAGAAGGTTAAGCGGAGGCCCGGCGGGCGGTCTGAAGTTATCTACAATTACGTTCAGCGCCCCTTCATCCAGATGTCGTGGGAGAAGGAGGAGGGGAAGAGCCGCCATGTGGATTTCCAGTGTGTTCGCAGCAAATCCCTCACGAATTTGGTGGCTGCAGGAGAGGATGTCTTGGAAGACCAGGAGATAATAATGCATCATCCACCTCAAGTGGACGAACTTGACCGCTTAAACGCCCCACTCTCTCAGATGGCTCCCAATGACTTTCAAGATTAGAGGCAAAGGCGTCTGCCAGGTTGCTGGAGCTCTTCTCTGGGAACCCCCAACGCCCCCAACCAGGCCTCCTTGCCCTCCCGTGGTTTCTCACCCTTAGGAGATACTTCCTCCTGTCTCCTTCCTTTCTGAGTTGTTAATGTGCCCTTTTCTGGGTCTGCCTCTGGCTGGGTGAAGAAGCTCTCTGCTAATTAGGCGATCAGCTTTACCAGCCCTGGCAAACAAACAGTGTGGGTCTGGTGCTCTTGGTTGAATCTTTGTATGACTACAGGAGAGGAAGTGGACTGTTACCTCATATTTGGCACAGGAGCCCACTCTTTTACACCCGGTGGATGGTTTTACATCAAACTAATTGCTTAATAGCAAAAGGACCAAATGTTAGAAGAGACATTTATGCTGGGCCGGCTGTGCCCCCCTGAGGTGTGCTGGGGTGGGTGGAAGGTGGGGCCTGGGCACTGCAACTGGATGCCATCTGGACAAAATGTCTGAGGAATTCCGAAGAGCTCCAGCTCAGCTCTGCTCTTCACTAAGGTGGAGCAAACCAACTCAGCAGTGACCCAGCGGGGTGCTTGTGCAGCCTCGCCTTCATTTGGAAGTGAAACTTGCAAATGAGGTGGCAAAATGGCTTCAGATTGGCCAGCTGGACCCTCTCCTCTGGTGGGAAGCCACAGTGCCTGTCCCCAGGGATGGCTCATTGCTGTGGGTGTGGTGGGAGACTGATACCTTGAAGATTTGCTTGTTACCCTCCTTCGAGCTCCAGGGAGAAGGCATCTGTAGTGAGCTGGGCAGGTGTTGCCCCAGCGTTCTCATACCAGTATGCTCACTTTTCTTTTTAAACAGGCCATCAGCTGCTGGAACATGGTAAGAAAGTAATACTGTGCTCGTCCCCCAAATCAGGTCCAGGCCTTGTTATTTATCTGTTCACGCTTACATGTGTGGTAGGTGGCCGTCCAGATCATTCCCCTGACCCTTCATCTGATATTTCCATGGCTGTTTGCAGAGTCAAGAGCCAGACAGCAATGTCTGGGATTATCTTACTTCCTGGTAGAAGTTGACCTTTGAGTCCGTCCTCCACCCTGGGCATTTTCCCATCATAGGTGGTGTGTAAGCTGTTTCCTTCAAACTCCTTAGAGAACACGTTTGGTTTCTTGAAGCTGCTCCCATAAGACACTGTACAGCAGAACCACTTGATGGATAGAGTCAGGTTTTGGAAGCCCTCTCTCCAGTATTGAAGAACAAGAGCGTTCTTAAAACGGTGTTTTCTGTGCTTGTGGCATCACAGTGGGAGTCGGGCGAGATCTTCCTTGCTCAGAAAAGAACTAAAGGGTAACTAGGCGGCTGCAGTTTGTGTGGTGACTATTGGTGTGTCGGCGAGGCAGCATCCAGAATATGGGCTGAGGTTACTTCTGTGAAGTTGCTTGGCTTGGTTCGAGGCCAGCTCTGGCTTTGACTTTGTTGGTGCTACATGGTTGCCTACCTGCAGCTGTCCAGCCCAGGGTCAGTGGTGCTTCCTGTTTCTCAGTGGTCACTGGAGTGATCGCTATGTGTGATATGTGGGACACTCAGGTGTGAGCACAGTCCTCTCTCTGTTCTTTGGAGGTGGTTCACTGGCTTTGGCTTTTTATGAACGAGGTCTTAACCCTGACACTCCAGCCCATGGAGTTTGAGTAGGGGGCAATCAAAAGCCTCTCCAGTGACACTGGGTGGCGGCGACTGAAAGGCTGGGGACATGGGCTCCTTGTCTAGAGGGAAGCTTTTTTGTACCTCAGCCCCACTCTTACCTACATTTTGGTGTCATTGTAGTTTGGTGTCTTGCCTACTGTTCTCAGTGTTGGGACACTTTTTTTCCCCCTTTTTACTTTGAGGAGGGAGGAGTAAGGTGGGGTTAAAACAAGGATTTTCTGTGTAGCCCTGGCTGTCCTGGAACGCACTCTGTAGACCAGGCTGGCTTCAGATTCTCAAGAGATCCACCTGTCTGACTCCCTGGAACGCACTCTATAGACCAGGCTGGCTTCAGATTCAAGAGATCTACCTGTCTGACTCCAGAGTGCTAGGATTAAAGGTGTGTGTCGCCACTGCCTGGCCCCAAGTTGGGACATTCTTTAGTGGTGGGACCTTGCAGGATCAAGGGCTGGATTACAGTCGTCTTTGCAGTTGATTACTATGTGTGAGAGAGGACCTTTCTCATAAAAAGATGGATGTGGGGCTCAGTGTCTTTTTTAAGTGCCTGTATAAGTAAGTAAGCTGGGCTCTGTGCACAGAAAGCCTCATGAGAAAGGTGACTTTACACCTCAGAGTCTCAGAGTATCTTACAAGATAAAAGATGAGCGTGACCCTGAGGCGTGACTCTGCAGCATGCCCTTGCTGCATCTTGTGGGGTTGACCAGGAGCGCCTGCGTTAAGGAGGTGGTGAACAGGGGCAGACACAGTATTAGAACGCAACAAATGGGGTGATGGCAGAGTCTGAGGAAGATAGGAGGGACTGGGTACAGCAGCCAAAATTATCTTAACCAGCATCTCAGGAGATGCTGTGTGATGTCTGATGTGTACAGGCCTGAGAGTGCTCTGCAGGAAACCCAGCGAGGGGCGTCTTCTCAGAGGATGTGTCTTAGGGAAACAAAACTGTTCAGAGCACAGGCTTCAACTCAAGTGGAGAGTTTTAGTGGTGGCCATCAACAGCTTCTGAGATAGGTAGGTGCAGGGACTCCGCAGGACTCTGCTGTTTTCCCAGGAGGCAGAGCCACTCTTGTGTCTGATGGGATCATTCTGGAGAATAAGTTTTCTCCTAAGGGCAAAACGGTGTGGATTTTGCCTCTTACATTATATTTACTTTTGAAGTTGCACTTGTTCACCTACCAGTGTTTACGGAGTCCTGTGTATGGGATGCTTTTTCTATAATAAAGTATTTTTATTTGTGTCTCCTGTCATTTAATAGAAGAGAAAATCACAAAGCAAACCTCCAATGAATTTAAAGGCCAGGATAGTAGGTTTCTTTCCTTAGGACACAGACTCAACCGAAACTTGCCTGGGCTCCTCCTCCCTGCTGTCCTAGACTGCACTCCAGTTCAGTTACCATTGGCGATCTCACATGTCAATCAAATGTGCCCATCGGAAGCTTAGACCTCTGTGGACTGGTTCTGTTTCAGATCAGGTGAGTAACAGTGATGGGTCTACAGGACCTCTGGCTCTTATTACTGTCTTGGACCTATCTTAGTCAAGTTTACACTAAGTCCTTGGTTCATTTAGTAACAAGGCTGTCAAAGCCTCTGCCATCAGCCCACCCCAAAAGCATCCAGGGGTTAAGAGTGTGGTAGGTGTGTTCTTTGCCAGATAATGCTTGCCCTCAGCTGATGCTCACTAGAACAGGTCCTTCCCTCCAAAAGCTTTTAGTGTGGGGCATAGACCTCTAGTCTAGGTCACTTGGTACCAGCCAGAACTGGACTGTTCTACTATGGAAAGATCACAGGTTTTTAGATAATCCTATGAACTAAATCATGAAGGACTTGGTGCAATGAGGTATTACTGGCCAACTCTCATCTATGGGCAACAGTAAAAATAACTCATCCGATGACGTGATGGCACAAAGTTAGGAATCCAGGGTGTTTGAACTGTATTATTGTTGAGAACCTAGTGAGTCCTACACAAAACAATGAAACAAATTTAGAATTTGGCAATAAGCAAAGTTCAAATGGGAAGAACCATTAGTGACCAGAGGCACGGGTCACCTATTGCATCACACAGATGTGTCTAGAACTAGTAACATAGGGCTGCAGAAATGACTCGGCAGGGAAGAGCACCTGCTGCTCTTGCAGAGGAGCTGGGTTCAGCTCCCAGCACCTACACGGCAGGTCATAACTGTACCTCCAGTTTCAGGAGATCTAAGGCCCTAGCCTCCTTGAGTACTGCATAAACTTGGTGCATAGATATACATGCAGACAGAACACTGATAGAAGTAAAAATCACTTTTTAAAAAGTTGTGACAAGATGCCAAGCCACAAGTATGATTGCTCTGCAAGCTTGATGACCTGAATTGTGGTCCCCTGAACCCTTAATGTATACATACACTGTGCGTGAAGATCTGGGAAGTCCCCCAATGTAAGCTTTCAGTTCTTCTGTGACATCTCTGTCCAGCAAGTGTTTTGCTCTCACTGAGGTAGAGTGTAGGGAGGTAAGGCCTCCACTCCATAGTCTCTTCTATGGAAGTCAGTTCTATGGAACCCAAATCAGAATTAGTTTCCTGCAAACAAGCTGGTACAGCACAGCTTCTCCAAGACAACAGCATTTTGTATCAAGACGACAGTGCAGTGTTTCTAGAGTAAGGGACTGGGAGTGGCCACCAGTGTTCTGCTTTGTACTTCAAGCCACAGTCAGTTTAAAATATATCACATAAGCCAGGCGGTGGTGGTGCACGCCTTTAATCCCAGCACTTGGGAGGCAGAGGCAGGCGGATTTCTGAGTTCGAGGCCAGCCTGGTCTACAGAGTGAGTTCCAGGACAGCCAGGGCTACACGGAGAAACCCTGTCTCGAAAAACCAAAAAAAACAAAAAACAAAACCAAAAACAAAACCACCACCACAGTTCCATTATGGTTTTCACAGTTTATTTAAAAGTTGAATAGTTAAATGTGGACATTTTCCCCAAAAATGAACCATCCCCCACCACACAGACTCTACCACTATTATTTTCCCATGCTCACCACACACTCCTGCAGACACACAGGGATCAGGACCTCAACTGTTCATCAATGCAGGGCGCGCAGAGCCACACGCAGGCCCTTCTGTCCTTTGCATTAGCAGGCTCGGAATGGATTAAGGAGCTAACCTCAACCACCCTTAACCCAGAGTTAGGACTTCCTAACATTCCTTTTTCTTCATCTAAGACATGAAAACCCAAAGCAGTCTTGCTTACAATTCTAAGTCTTACGTTCTAATCTCTGAATGGCTAAGCCAGGACCCCGCTGACCCTTCACAACTTCAAGACCAGCAGAGAGCCTGTCCCAGTTGTAGCTTGGTCAATGACACTGCAAGTTACCACACAGGTGCAAATAATGCTTTAACAGTTATCAACACTTAAAACCAAACTCTAGTAATGCATTAATATGGAACCTCCACATTTTTCTAACACAGCAGAAGTCTTCTAAAGGTGGCAGCAGCTGTGACAGAGAAGGCACTTTGTGCTAAATTCAGTGTTTCTCATGAGAGAATGCCACAGCAGAGGCAGTTCAGCCCAAGCTACAGGCAACCCTTTTGGGTGGAGGGACAAGAATGCCCCAGGGAAGGCATCTGCAAAGGAAAATTTTGTAATCATGATTCCAAGGCAAGATGGCTAAAGTTGGGATAGGAAAATACCAAGACAAACACGGTTGCACCATGGACTGAGGAATGAGCTCAAGGACTCAGCGGGCGGGCTCTGCCTTGATCCCACAGATGCCGTGGGATCCTGCATGGCAGCACCTAAGCCTCCAGCAGGTTCTCTGCTGGCTTCTCAGGAACAAGCTGCGCTGGCAGCACTTGCAGGTATTGCTTGCTGGTCGGCAGCATGTGCCTCAAGACGATCATACAGCCGTGAAGAGACAGTAAGGGTTGTCCATATGGTCCAGGACTCCTTGGCAGTGCCCAGTGGCTTTGTGGGCTTTCTGAGATCAAAAAGGATCACACTAGTACCTCTCCCATCCACAGAAGAGCAGCATGAGTCTTTCGGATGGGAGCTAGGTCAGTGGATCAGGGTCTTTGCCCTAGTACCGTAAGTAAAGTGCACCATGAATGAAGGCTGTGGAAAGCCGCTTGTGCAGGCCGAGGTAGGGGAGAAACCACTGGCATCAGCAAGATGGAGATCGTTCCTTCTGTCACACTACTGGCTGCTCACACAGACTTTCATTATTGCCTTATTTCTTTAACTATAGAATTTTCAGCTATAAAGAGAAAAGAAATACTTGGTGGGCTTGGCAGGTGGCATACACCAGAGCACCGGCATTGGCTGGTACTCAGTGTGGATAAGCTCGGGAACGGTGGATGGCTGCTTTTCCCCTTCATTCTGATGAACTTGGGAAACTCAAATTCTCTTTACAACACATAACAAACTGGCTCATGAGGCTTCAAAAGAAGCAAGCAGCTGCTTATGGCTGACGGAGAAACGCTTGTCTTTGTCCTATCAGCTTCCTGGTGCACGATGGAGGAATATCCATTTACAATCACATTTCAGAGACTTGACTAGGATGTATTCATGAGTTCTACAAACTTCTTGGAAGTTCTTTCAAGAGCGCAAAAGGAAAACCACAATGTTGTACAGAGAGCTCCGCCCCATTTAGGGTTCCCAGCACAGGCCCTATTTTGCTGCCTTCATGTAGGAAGGTATGGCCCCCCTGGCTGTCAGGCCCTCGAAGCGCTTGTACGTGTAATTGATGAAGACCCAGTCTTTATTCTTGTAGTCCGTCTCAGGATGGTTACTTGTGGTCACTGGCAAAGAAACAGACGTGAGATTTGAGTCACTGACCTACCTCAACGGCAACTCGGTCCCAGAGATACAGCACCCTGAAGAACACAGTACAGCTGCCGTGCAGAGAGTTTTATCTTGCATTGTGCAAGTTTTGTACATTGCTCACTTACGTTCTATTTTCCTGCTCAGTCATTTCAGTTTACATAACCTGTATTCTATGAGTAATCGAAGAGCAGTTTATGATTTTCAGCTCAAACAGCTCAACACGGTCCATTCAGTAGTCTCACTGCTACCCACCATAGGGACTGAAAAATCCTTACACAGGGTCAGAGGTCTCCCTCCATACTCTGATGTATAAATACTACCCTAAAATCGCAGGTGATGCTGCAACTCTGAAGACTGTAGTGGCAGCCAGTGGGATTACCTGTGGGCTTAAGAATATCAGACTCTGGAAATTCATCGAAGTTTGAGGTGTCATCGATGCTCTTGATCTCAATAGATATGGCAGCTGGTCTCTCCCTGTCAAGAACAGACATGCCCAATGACCACAGATGGTAGGTATGCGCACAGGATCCTGACCACGTCTCTCTTGGAAGACGCCTCCTTGTCTGACATGGGAAGACTAGTCACTGTTGGCAACATTTTTCCTCTGATGCTAAATAAGCCAAACGACTACATCCAAGCAAAATTATCATTAAAAATTGAAAATTCAGCCAGGCATGCTGGTCCATGCCTTTAATCCCAGCACTTGGGAGGCAGAGGCAGCCTGATCTCTGTGAGTCAAGGCTAGCCTGATGTACAGAGTAAGTCTCAGGATAGCCAGGGCTACACAGAGACCCCGTCTCAAACGCCAACCAGACAAAGCAGTCAGAAAGACAGGAACAAGGGAGCTAATGTAGTCCTCTCTGAAGGGAAACTTTTTCAAAGTAGCCCACTTTCCACTCTACCCTGATTCCACTGGAAAGGTAACAGTAAATTAACAGGATGCTGGCCACAGTGGAGACCAAGGAAAGCAGACTGAGTCCCAGGCCAGCTTAGGTTATACAGTGACACTATCTCAAAAAGAAAAGTCAAGGATCTAAGTGAACACAATTACAGTATAAAACGGCAAGACATTTTCTGCTTAGCAGTCGGTGAGTGCTAATGACAGCTGGAGCTTCAGCAGGTAGTCTAGGTGCCTGAGCCATACCTCCTCCCTGCCCTCTGAATGCCAGCCCTTCCACCTTCTACTCGCTGGTCCTCAGTCTCCCAGTAACAGCCTCTCTCTGCTGGAGGCCCTCAGCCACAGAGGTTAGGTAAGAGCAAAGACACATGCTTCCTGGCCACGCCTGCCCTTTCCTGTCAGCAACAGCTGGGTCTGCTGTTCCTGTGGCACACAGTGGATGGATCTGACTCCTCTAACGCATTTTCACACAATAAAGACCTGGAAATCTCGGGCTTTCCCTTCACTTGCTTTCGGATGCTCTTTCCAGACTACTCTTATAGAAATAATCCACGGATGGTGGCACATTCCTGTATCTAAGCACTTGGGAGAAAGAGGCAAGAGAACCAGGGGTTTGAGATCACCTGCTATATACCTCACAGGAGGCCAGTCTGGGGTACATGAGACCCAGACTGTGGCCAGCAAGATGGCTCAGTGAGTAAAGGTCCTTGCCACACAACCCTGGCACCTGATTTGATCCCCAGAACCACATGACAGAAGGAAAGGACAAAGTCCACAAAGCTGTCCCCCAACCCTCACTCATCCCCATGGCATGCATATCCTTAATGCTGGACACTGTCATCTGGGTGGATACCTGATGTGTTCCCAGTCAACACCTTCAAAAAAAGGATTATGTTTTATTTCCTCAACTCCAGGGGCTCCAATTCTATGTTCCCATTCACAGCAGAACCTGGAAAAAACAACAGGCTTTTCAGCACACTGCATTTTCTTGAGAAAAAGGAAATGCCAGGCTCCTGCATGCTCTTTCCAGGACCCCCCACCCCTGGAGAAGGAAGCAAGAGCCCGCAGGGTTCACTCCTATAACAAGGCTGAGCATGGAAGACGCCTGCTCTGCTACCTCAGAATCAGGCCCTTGGCTTTCTCCGAGACAGGAACTTCTGGGGGAAAGGTCAACGTCTCCTTCCAGTTCATCACCTTCTTGTATGTCTCTTGTGGGGTCTCAGAGCAGAACGGTGGGTAGCCTGGAATGAGCAGGAAGTGTGGATCTTTACCACCCAGAACACAGACCTGGTCTGACTAAGGAATTCCCAGTATGACCCATGTCTCTAACAACAGCTTGACCTCCACATATTCATTCCTTCCCCATGCTGGGGGGGATTTCCATTCAGCCCAGAAAACATCTAAACTCATTTTTCATCATTTTTCTCCAAAGCAGAAAGTTTATCTCTGATACACTAGAGAGCCAACTGGAAAGTCAGCTGACGGTTGAGACTGGGAAGGGGAAGGACATAAGCAGAGACGCAGTGTGGGAGTCAACACGCTGGAAGAAAGGAAGGGACACCATGGTTAAAAAGGTCCCCACTCTAGAGAGTCCCTCTTACGGCTTAACGTGAGTAAGCTACAAGCAAGTGTTTCAGAGAGACCATCCCAGCTCTTCTGGGAAGTGCAGGCAAGAGGATAAGCACTTGCCTCCCTGTCTACCTCCAGCCTGCCCTCCACACATGGAGTACGTCCGTGTCCAGTGTCTCTCAGATCATCTGACAAGGGACTCATCCCACCTGTCATCAGTCTCCCCTACTTGTGCTCAGTGGCCTATGGCTACACCCTAGACGTGTCCCTGAATACAGAGACACAGCATCCAAATACAAGGGAGGATGAAAGGTTCCATGCTCTCAAAGCTTCAGAGACAAAGCAAGACAAGTGCACACGCTTAGACACTGCCTTGGTTAGTTCCTTGTACACAATAGGTGCCGGGTAAGGATGGTTAAGGGGCAGACGGAGGGAATGAAGGAACAAACGGACTTAGAAATAATGAATGACAAAATGTCAGGGAGCCCATTTGAGGGAGCTGTCCATCAAGGAACTTCACTCCAAAGGCAGGTGAGCCAAGCACTTAGCTGGCCTCTGAATGCTTCAGTGTGACAGCATGTAGCAGTCTCCCCTGGGTGCACAGGAAGCAGTGTGACAGCATGTACCAGTCTTTCCTGGGTATACAGGAAGCACGGGACTCACCGATGAGCATCTCGTACATGATGACCCCGAGGGACCACCAGTCGCAGAGCTTGTTGTACCCTGTCTGCATGAACACCTCCGGAGCAATGTAGTCAGGCGTGCCCACTGTAGAGAAGGCCTGAAATATGTCCACACGTTAGAGAGGCCCGGCCAGGACAGAGTGCCTGAGCTCAGAATGTCAGTCCAGAGACCAAAGGCCGCAAGCTCCATCAGAGTACCCCAAACTACGAAAGCAGGACAGCCCCAGCAAAATACAAGCTTATCTGTGACAGCACTTTCCAAAATGAACAATAAAGCTTTGTTAATAAGGCAAAAGACCCCTTCTGCACACACCCAGAGCCCACGCCGTAGGTGAGTAAGCACCCATTAAGAACCAGGCTCTACACCTGAATGAGCCTTCCTCATTCTGCTCAGGTGTCTGAAAGGACATCTAGCCCAGTGCTGCAGCTAACACTTGACATCCACACTCGTCACTCAAGCCCTGAGAACTAGTGAGGGACAACACCAGTCTGGAGACAGGAGGTCCTACTCCAAATCACCTATTTACTGCTGAGGGAAGTTAACAAACACACTGAAAGTCTACGTCAGCACTATCCTAGGTAAAGTGCCCACAACCCACAGACCTGCCATGGTATTACAGTGCATATGCAAAGTGCTGCCCTTTCTACATAATGCACGTGTGACCACCCTTACAAAGTACAGCTCACATTCCGTCTCACATATGAACAAGCCAACAAATCGTCTATCAGGAATCAATGTTGTTGTGGCTGGAGAGAAGGCTCAGTGGGAAAGGGTACTGGCCTGACCGCTCCTGCAAAGGACCTGGATTTAATTTCCAGAACCCACATAGTGGCTCACAACCATCTCTAACTCCTTCCAGGGGATCCCATTCTTACACACACGCACAGGAGTTTTGGTCCAGCAAGATGGCTCAACTGGTAAAAGCACTTGCCACAAAGACTGATGACCCGACTCTGAGCCCTACAAACCTTAAGGTGGAAGAGGATTCCTACACGTTGTCTTCTGACAACACACATGGATGTGTGTGCACACACAAAGGAAATAAGACTGAAGTTTTCTCAGTAATAATTCAGTGGTGAGTGTACCCTATTTAAATAGCTTTCAACATACTAGTAAGGTAAACGGAATGAGCTATGTGCTTACTTTCAAGCTTCGGGTGCATAATTTTGGATGTGTGCATAGTCGAACACTAAACATCTTTCAGTTCTGACTACCGAGTACTTTTTACCACAAAGTAAGGCAAGGCAAGGCAGATGAACAGGAGTCCTGACTTGCCTAAGGGGATCAACATGTTAAGCTTAAGAGAGAGTGTCTTAAGGTGGTCATGGTGGGATATCCGTAATCCTAGCACACTGGTAGACTGGAGAGGGCTGGGGGAGGGGTGTTTTCAAAGCCAGCCTCAGTTTTATAGAGTCTTAGGCTAGCCTGTGCTATAGGAAACTTTATATCAAAAATAAGTGCTCGGCCGGGGGTTGGTGGTTGCATGCCTTTAATCCCAGCACTTGGGAGGCAGAGGCAGGCGGATTTCTGAGTTCGAGGCCAGCCTGGTCTACAGAGTGAGTTCCAGGACAGCCAGGGCTACACAGAGAAACCCTGTCTCGAAAAACCAAAAAAAAAAAAACAAACAAACAAAAAAAGTGCTCTAAGTTCAAGGCATGCCAGGCAAGCAACTATTACTGAGCTGCAACCCCACGCCATTAGTGTTCTTTTTACAACTCACTCAGGCTGTTTGTAGTATTTCAGAAGCCTCCAGTATTACTTACTAGCTGGCGTCTGTTTCTTTTCCAGGTCTCTGCTTTCCTTTTGGAATTCATGTTCTGAAAAGCTAAAAGTAGAGACATCAAGTCCTAATCAAAATTCAGAACTAGTACTAGTCATACCATGCACCCACCAAACACCCCGACAGTCAAGCCTGGTAGTGGAGGTAGAGGAAAGCAGATAGATCTCTGTCGATTTTAGGCAAGCCTGGGATACACAGAGAAAGCCTACCTCAATGCAACAAAGTAAAACAAACACACACAGCCAGTCTGCTCCGGGGTGACTCACTCTATCGGCCCAAACATAAGCTCTAAACCCAGCAGCTCCAAGAGTCACAGTGGAGTTGTGAATAGTTTTAGGTGGCTCAAACAGCCAGAAAGGACAGATAGGCCTTATCAAAACTATAGAGAAGGGAGTGCAAATGTTGATCAACTGTACATTTATTTATGGGCTCTGTTGTTGTTTGTGGGTTTGGGTAATGGTACTGGTGAAGGCAGGCAGGGCCTTCTGCATGCTAGGCAAGCAGTCTTTCCGAGCGACAACCTGATGTCTCTACAGCACAGCTGGAAGCACTCACCTCGCCCGTCAGACAGCTTAGGGATACAGAAAGGTACTGGGTCTCTTGTGCACACTGCTGGGAGACTCTCTCAGGTTTCTCCGGTCACCAGGGAAATCACGCTTACCCACCAAGTTAAGGACCAGGTGGGCAGGCAGCTAACGTCACTGTTCACTTACTGAAATCACTGGGCAGGCTATGGTTCAGGTTCCTATAGAATTCTGTCCTGTGTGCTTTTTTCAGGCCTGTGCAGAGGCCAAAGTCAGAAAGTTTCACATGGCCCTGTGAGAGAAGGAGAAACAAGGTGATGTGTGACGGACATGCTTGGACAGGCAGACACCATTACCTCCCAGCTTCCGGTGCATCTCCCGCCAACAGACTGCTCCCGCCTAGCTGACTATAAGGAAAACCACACAACAACACACTTAAGCAGAATTCCAGCTAAGTGTGTGGCCCATGTCTTTAATCCCACCACTTAGGAGGCAGAGGCAAGGAGATCTGAGTTTGAGGCCAGCCTTGTCTACAGAGAGAGTTCCTTGACAGCCAGGGTACCTAGAGAAACCAATTAAGTACTGAAGCCAGACATGCTAGTCCATACCTCTAATTCCAGCACTGGAGACAGAAGCAGGTTGATTTAGGTCAGCCTGGTCTACATAGTGAGACCTGTCTCAAAAAAAAAAAAAAAACAACAACAAAAAAAAAACCAGCCAGAAACCAGTGGTCATGTTTCAGTTATGAGACTGCACATTACATTTCTTCTTTTAACTGTGTATTGTTCTAAATTTTTACTCTATGAGATTATTCTTTTTTGTTGTTGTTGTTTTTTGTTTTTTTTTCGAGACAGGGTTTCTCTGTGTAGTCCTGGCTGTCCTGAAACTCACTCTGTAGACCAGGCTAGCCTCGAACTCTCGAACTCAGAAATCCGCCTGCCTCTCCCTCCCAAGTGCTGGGATTAAAGGCGTGCGCCACCACCGGCCGGCTGAGATTATTCTTTTTTATTAGCATATATTACTTATGCAGAAAATGGGCTTCAGACTGACATTTTCCTATATGTTTAGGAGAGAACCCTATGCAGCCATTCACTGCCTTCTGCTGTCTTCTCTCTCTTCTCTCACTGGCTTGGAACCTCCTAGTTAGGCGAGGCTGGCTGGGCACCAGCCCCAGGGACCCCCCTGTGCCCCACCCCAGTTCTGAGATCACAGCTGCGTGCCTTCCTTCACGCCTGGCTCTATATGCATCCTTACAGAACAGAACTGCAGACGCCAAGACATTACCTGATAAGCCTCCTGCCCTCATGACACAGCAAGTAAGGTTTCTACAGAAAGACAAGAATCCTGGGCCTCTTAAAGAAACCTAGAAAGTTACCAAAAGAGACAGTAGTGTACACCTTTGATCCCAGCACTCAGAAGGCAGAGGCAGGCAGATCTCTTTTGAAAGCCTGGTCTACGGAGTGAGTTCCAGGATACCCAAGCTATACAGAGAAACCCTGTCTCAGAAAAGAAAAAAAAAAAAGAGGAGAGGGGAAAGGGGAGGGTAAGGAAGGGGAGGGGAGGGAAGGGAAGGGGGAGAGGAAGAGGAGCTGGAGAGATGGCTCAGCAGTTAAGAGCACCAACTACTCTTCCACATGGTGGCTCACTACCATCTCAGTGACAGTGTACTCATATAAATAAAATAAGATTCTTTTTTTGAAAACAAAATAAAAGAAAAGAAAAGAAGGAAGAAGGCAGGCAAGCAGCAGCAGGGAGGATATCACAGTAGGAGTAGGACACTTTCAATACAAACAAAAACTTCTGGTTTACAAGTAAAACATTCTAGAGTTCTAGAGCCAAAGGACATGGAAGCACACCATACCCACTGTGGCTGTTTGTAATCTTATGCTAATGGGGTCTCCCAAATCAGTCTGCGCGAGAGGGTCTGCGCAGCCTCTGGGAACCTGACTAAAGATGCCAAAAGCCAATTGCTGGGACACAGACACGGGTGGGATTTTAGGTTTCCGAGGCTTGGGACCTCAAGGAGGAGGAAAGAAAGAGCTGTGTGCAAGAGAGAAAAGCAGAGCCGCCATGTAAGGGGGCCAGGAGAGTGCAGCCCAGAAGGCTGCTCAACTGGGTCTGGAGCAGCCCAGATGGAACAGAGACTATGGAAGTAGTAACTGGGAACTATTGGAGGGAGGGAGAGGGAGATTCTAACAGCACGGAGGGTAGGCAGTAGCCCAGCGACTGTGCTGCCTAAGGCACATAAATATAAAGGCTGTGTGTGTGGCTTTCATTCGGGAACATAAGCCATTGAGGCGCGTAGCAAGCCCGTGACGGGATTTATTTAAAATACTAATACTATACCCGCTTTCTCACGAGAAAGAGAGAGCAGTGAGTGCAAATGCCCAGTTACCGCAAGTGTAGCCACCGGCACAGACTCCTCCCGTGGCCTCAGCAACAGCACTACTTGCATCAGTGAGGTAGAACAATAAAGGCTGCAGGAGGCTGGGGCTCCTCTGGGAGCATGGTGCATGCGGCACCCTGCTTTGTGCTGGACTCTGTGGCAGGCTTTGCTGCTGCCACCTTCTTCCTGGTGCTTCAACAGAGGAAGGTTGCTAGCTGCTGCACCAGCCAAGCAGCGTCAGACATTCAGGGAAGATGGCTGTCTCTGCCTCATTACAAAACTGACTTGGTTGTATTTGTGTTTGCACACAAAGTCTCCTTGTAACTCAAGCTGGATGTGGAATTCCTAGCCTCCAACTTCTGCCTCCCAAGTGGTGGAAGCACCGGTGTCCGTCACCATACTATGCCCTGCTTAATGTTCTTGAGACAGAGCCTTACTATGTAGCCCTGTCTGCCACAGATCTCCCTGTGTAGACCAGCCTGGCTCTGCCTCCTGAATGCTGGAATTCAAATCATGTCTGTTTTTTTTAAAGAACATTCAATGAAATTACAGAATCATAGTTCAGAGACAGGCTATGATGGCAAACTTACCTGTAAGAAGGACACAAGCATAAAGGCTCACCGTTCCCATGATCACTGCATGTGACAGGCGTTACAGCCAGGGCTGCCCATCCCAACAGACAGGCCTGGCAGGTGCCGTGTGCCCACGTACCTTGCTGTCCAAGAGAAGGTTGTCGGGTTTGATGTCTCTGTGGATGAACCCCAGCTGGTGGATGGAGTCGATGGCTAACACCGTCTCTGCTATGTAAAACTGCGTCTCCTCTTCTGTCAGAGTATCTTTCTTCATCAATAAAGTCATCATGTCCCCTGGAAGCAGAAAGATACAAAGCCACCACCATACACACATAATCCAAGTGCGCGCACGCGCACACACACATGTAAAATATGAGTAAGAACCAGTTTTTAAATATGTCTTCATTATCTGCCAATATAAGCCAACTACACCCAACTGTGCTGTGTCCCATAAAGTGATCTACAGAGTTACCATGGGAGGAACAGCAACAAGCCTCTAATATGGAAAGGGTAAAAATCACACTCAGAGAGACATGTCTTGCAGCTAAGCTAGGTGAGCACTACGCTTTAATTTCATTTTCCTCTTTAGAGAAGTAAGAATTTCTCCACAATTACAAAGGATATCTGCCTATTTTGGACCAGAGGAAAATCTACTTGACTTTTACATTTTCTCACATATCTGTAAAGTTGTCTATGTCTAGAGGCAAATGGCAATTCCACACAGCTTGAACTGCTGTCTTAGAATGACGTGCCAAACACAATTTCGGGAGACTTAAACAAGGCTCCCACTAACATGCGGAGGCAAACCCATGGGAGACAGCTGTGGAGAGTGGAGCAGCAGTCACAGATGCTGAGCCCACTCCTCCCCACTGGACTTTAGCTGCCTTACAGGTGAGGTCACTGCCGGCTCCCAAGACCACAGGGCCTTCTAACACCTTCCTTGAGGATTTAAGTGGATGCAACTATCATCATATAACTTTTCATCTACTGACAAATTCCTTAGTTTCCTACAAGATGAAAATTTAAAGCTTAATACCAGCATCATAAAGCAAGAGAAAAAAAGATTCATATCCTAAAATTCAGCAATTAAACAAAAGCAAAGAGAATATGTAAAGTAGCTAAAAGGCTAAGAAAAACAGATGGTTCAGTTTCTACCTCATGTAAAATGACCTAGAGTAGAGAGAAAGGAAGAAAGCTCTGGGATCCATCGCCTCCTGCTGCCCTCTGAGCCTGTCTGAGGCGGGGGCAGTGGGGATGCCGACCCTAAGGTCCCAGCCGCTGTAGGCCTCACTTGTGTGCTCTCAGGGCTCTGCAGGCCAGCATCACCAAACACAAAGGGCGGGGTCCAAGGGACATGAGGAGCTAAGGAAGAGCTGCAGCAATGGCTAGCACACACATGGTAGCCAAGCCATTCCCTACTGAAGAGCTTAAGGGGAAAAGGTGTTCTACTAGTCAACTCTGTGCTATAATCCTCATCAGTGGTTAGTAAAAGTTACTGGTGACCCTGGGTCTAAGTTAAGGGGTGTCACAAGACCAATATAGTATTCGCCAATAATTATACTCGCTTTGTTAAAAACCAAAAAGAAAAAAGCTACCTTCTGTTTGCTCAGAGTTCACTGGTTTATCAGGAAAGAGACTGTTCCCAAAACAGATGGGACACCCTGCTCTGGCTTACCTGTCTAGGCTTGACACCTCAGAGAGGAGAGTGAACTCTAGATATTAATATAGGTAAAGAGGAAGTCACCCTAACAAACCACAGAAAAAGAAACAAAAATGCTGAAGCAAACAATGCTATCGCTTCAGTCTGGTCACCTGGACAACCCATGCTGGCGCCAACTGGCAGCAGGCAGGCAGAGCTCCCTACCTGGTCTAAATGTGTTTAAAGGAAAAGTAAGTAGAAGGCCTGTCCACCTGAAATGGTGAGTGGACGGCAGAGAGGCAGGCAGCACAAGGCTGGCTACTGCCCTCCTCTGCGGACCTAGAACAGACACAGAAAGCGATTCTGTGAGCAGAGTTAGAGGAAGAAAGGAGGGCTCATTGTTGACGTGAAGGAGAGAGCACAGAACAGAAGGAAATCGACCTTTCATTGTGCAGTAATTACCTCCAGGCAGGAACTCCATGATTAGGTAGAGGTTTAGCTTATCCTGAAAACTATAGAACATTTTCACCACCCACAAACTGTCTGCCTCCACTAGAATGTCACGCTCCGCACGGATGTGGCCAACCTGGAGGTACATGCATTCGATTAATGACAAGCCTTGCTCTGCTGTAAACTCTTATCTGTTTAAACAATTTAAATACTGTTTTGAGTATCCAGTTGTGATGAGCAAAAGTTCTGCTAACACACACTGACCAACTTGAAACTGACATTGACTTGAAGGAACTCAGTGACAGAAACCTGCTGAGAGAGGCTTTTAAACCTGCAAAGGAATGAATGGCTTCAAACCAACACAACTGAGCAGTGCCACAAAGTAAACCTCTGATTCGTTAAAATTTCCGTCCTTTTAAATAAATACATTTATTATATATATTTTTAAGTTTACTTATTTATTTTTATTTTTTTAAGCCAGAGATTCATGTATCCATGCTGGCTTTGAACTCTGCCTCTGGATCTCTCTGCTTCCATCTCCAAAACTCAAAGATTATAGGCATGAAGCACCACACAGGTTTATGTGGTAAGAGGTTCGGCAGGCACTCCAGCCGTGTCCCCAGCCCCCTGTTCCAGTAACCCCGTAGATAAGCAGTCCCCAGAGTGAGGCCCGAGCAGTCCCACCGCAGGCTGCACTGCCTAGGTGAGTTGGTTTCTGTCTGAGGTTCCTGTCTTGTCTTGTTCCGGCTACACAAGGTATCTCCTGTTCCTTAACTACTCAGCTGCATGCCCCCAAAACTGATATCAAAATAACGGAGCCCCAAGGGACAGGTAGGTCACCATGACACCACAGGACTCTAGCTGTAGCTCACCGCTGTGCATTACAGGATGAAAGAAAAAAGGTCTCGAGGATTCAAAATCATGGCTTTTCTCGGTTTCTACATTTGCTGCAAAATGAGATGGAGCTACAGGCCGCTTGGGAGACCGGCAGAACCGCCTGTTACAATAGAACGCTGTAAGAGCAGGGGTGTGGCTCAGCTGATAAAGAGCTTACACGGCATGGATGGAGCCCTGGGTTTGATCCCCAACACCATGTAAGGTGGGGGTGGAGGTGCATGCCTGCAGGTCTAGCACTTGAGAGGTGGAGGTGGGAGGATCAGGAGTTCAGAGTCACCCTCCTCCACTACAGAGCAAGTCTGAGACCAGCCATGGCTAGGTGACAACCTGTCTCAAAAGTGGTGATCATTAGATCAACCTGTCATTATTCAAAATATGGAATAGTAACCAAAACATTATTGCATATTTTCAAATTACACCCCTCCTTTCTTTTTTAAGTGTCACAAGAGCCAAAGATGGAGTGAATCAAATCTAAGCTCGTTAAGACTCAGTCCAAGCCTGCAATAAGTTCCAAAGTCAAAGACCTATATGAGGAGCCATGAACTGGCACGTCTATGGTTCTCGTACACTGCCCGCTTTGTTGGGATACCTTCAGCAGGGCCACAGATCTTCCGTCCCTCACCTGGAGACACACATTACTGTCCCCTGACCTTATCTAACCTGCCTGTTCTCCCAATCGCTGTGGGCCTTGAAGGTGTCATCTGTGTATACATCTCAGTTTGGTGTCTCCATTCATATGGAGCTCTCTGAAGCTTCAGTGTGTGAAAGGGTTTGCTGAGTGCTATTGATGGCACATGCGTGCTGAGACCGGTGCTGTGAAACCACAGGCAAGACAAACACCTGCCTGTACTTGCCTCAGCAGAAGAAAAGCTTGTGGAAATTTACTGCCTCCTGCTGATCTGTAGCTGAGTCAATGAGCTGAGGCCAGAAGACTGGCCTCTGCTCTCCTGGGGCCCTACCTACTGCAAGGATCCTAAGAAAAGAGAAGGCACCAGCGTTACCACTCGTCACTCAGACTGGAAGACACCATGGTGACTACACTGTTTCCTGTTGATCAAGAGGAAAGCTAACCGCTGTGAGTCTACCTCTCCTTCTCTCCTGAGGCTGACGTGGCAGCTAGAAGCCTTAAGGTATAGAAGTGGAGTCAGCCGAACACAGAGCCAGAGGTGTGGCTCACAGCACAAGGTTCTCGTCCCTATCTGGACATCTGAGGCATGGAGGAAGCTGACACAGTCAGTCCTGTCCGTCCACAGCAGTGCAGCAGCACTGACCTCACCACAGACAATGTCTGGCACTAGCTGATGCTCATGTCTTATCTTTTCTTTCTTTTAAAACATTTTTTATTAATTACTTTATTTACACCCCAAATGTTGCCTCTCTCCCATTCCCCCTCTCCCCCTTCCTGTCCTCCCCCCCAGTCCTCCTCTCCCCCTTCCTGTCCTCCCCCCCAGTCCCCCTCTCCCCCTTCCTGTCCTCCCCCCCAGCGCTGGAACTAAAGGTGTGTGCTCAGGGCTGGAGAGATGGCTCAGCAGTTAAGAGCTCTTCCTGAGGTCCTGAGTTCAGTTCCCAGCTACCACATGGTGGCTCACAACCATCTGTAATGGGATCTGATGCCCTCTTCTGGTGTGTCTGAAGACAGCTACAGTGTGCTCACATAAAATAGGTAAATAAATCTTTAAAAAAATAAATAAATAATATGTGCCACCACAGTCCCTTTCTAACCTGAAGCATTTTTTTTGTTTTCAATGCATGCGTGTACATGTGTGTGAGTGGAGGGCAGAGGACAGCTCCCAGGATGAGTACTTCTCTCCTTCCACTCTGTGGGTCCCGCATGAGAAAACCTCAGGTCAAGTGCCTCACACTCTGAGCCCTCACCAGCTTCCTCGCTGCTCACTCTCAGGACAGCTTCACAAACTGAGAGGAGTTGTGAGTGTGGCTAAAATTATACAAAGTGCGTACTGTAAAACTTCTCACATCCCACAAATACCCTAGCTAAACAACACAGCCGTGACTTCCCTCAATGACATCAGCTGCTCCTCTCTTGTCGGTGCCTGAACATCTATGCACACCATACGCTCGCTGCCCTAGGCAGCACACACATAGGGCTGTAAAGCACTCTGCGGCAGTTGGTGTTTGCATAGACTACAATAATAGCTGAAGATTTGCTAATGATCTGCTTTCAGCTGGAATTAAGAATCCAAGGCTTGGGCTGAAGATGTGGCTCAGAGGTTGAGAGTACTGGCTGCTCTTCCAGAGATCCCGAGTTTAATTTCCAGCAACCATGCGGTGGCTCACAACCATCTGTAATGAGATGTGGTGCCTTCTTCTGGTGTGCAGGCATGCAGGCAGAACATTCCATACATAATAAATAAATATATCTTAAAAAAAATTTAAAGCATAGCTGGGCATGGTTGGTGTACGACTTTAATCCCAACACTCAGGAGACAGAGGCAGGTAGATCTCTAAGTTCAAGGCTAGCCTGGTCTACAAAGCAAGTCCAGGACAGCCAGAGCTGGTTACACTGAGAAACCCAGTCTCAAAAAAAACAAAAACAAAAAAGAATAAAAGAACTCAAGGCTTCCCAGTAAAACATTTAAAACAACAACAACAACAACAAAAAAGACTTAATAATTGTTACGTGACTGGGTTGGTTTGCTTCTATGTATAGTCTCAGACCACGTGCATGCACTGCCCAAAGAGGCCAGTAGAGGGGGGTCACATTCCCCGGGCCTGAAATAATTGACCATTATGATCCATCACATGGGTGCCAGGAATTCAATTCAGGTCTCTGGAACAGCAGCAGTTCTTTTAGCCATTCATTCAGCCGTCTCTCCAGCCTCAAGACCACAACATCTGGAGGAGGCACTTGACTGTAGACAGGAAAGACTCCACGACTACAATCCTCTGGTGGCAGAGAACACTACATTTGGGGACAGCCTCTATCCTCGCTGCTCCAAATGAGTTCTGCCTGGCACAAGGCCTCTGGCCTTACATTGGAATCCCGCATTAGTGTCACCCATTGCTACCTCTTCTGGGGCAACCAGCTGAACTAAACAACTAAACCAGACCCACAGAAGGTCTGCACTCTTTAAAAAAAAAAAAAAAGCTATCCTATGGAATTTGCATTAAGTATGTCTGTCAGATCTGGTTTCACCAAGAGCTTCATCCTTACTGGATAACGTGGGCTGTTAACTCAGGAGGGCCCAGGGCCTGCACAGCATACACAAGCACTCTACTGCGAGGCTCCATGTAGGCCCGAGAGAGTTCCTAATCATAAAGGAGACATTCTATTGCCCTGCCATTTACAGTTTCCAAATGAATTCAGACACCGGCAAGCTGGTCTCCCCGGGATACCAATGAGCTTCACAGAGGACCCATCTTTGGTTAGGTACAGAGTATAGTGTATTCAGACACATCAGTTCTACCTCCCCATCCATGGAGTACAAAAAACTCCCAGCATTCCAGGCCTGACCTCAAAGGAGGTTCTCTAGCAAGTGTAGTTGTGGTTACCTAGGAGACCCAAAGCTGCGTCCCTCACAGTCCTGACTGTAAAGCACTATTGTGTGTTCACAGGCCTTGTTTGCATTTTTAAACATGCAAGTGCATCTTTTGAGGAGAAAAACAATTACAAGTACAATATGCATTAGAGAACTAACTAGAGAAAACTGTAGTAAAACAAACACAACAACTAAGCCAACAGAGTAATTAGGCAACACGTCCCCAAAGCTGACTGATGGCAGCTCCCCTCAGTTACCTGCTCCTTCTCCAGCATGTCTGCTTTGCGCAGGATCTTCATTGCGTACACATGGCCTGTGTCTTTCTTCTGAACAAGCCGCACCTGGAAGGTCACCAAAGACGTGCTAAGTCAAGTTCGCACTGCCAAGCTAAGGATTTGTATTTCCAACATCAGGGATCACACCCAAGGCTTCACAAATACTACTTACACTAGAAAAGCATTATAATTTTAATGTAAGAATAACTAGCAAAAATAGACACTTTTAATGTTACAAACAAATCTCTTGTACAACTGTGACAATGATGAGAATCAACTATCTCCACGTCTCAACAGCTTTGGCTCCAACTGAACACGTGTAGAAGCCTTTAGTTCCAAATTTAAGGCCTAGTTAAAGCCATGACAAGTATCTGACAGTCAACTTAGAAAGCCTAAGTAACAATCACAACATTTAAAATGAAAATGACATATCGGACCCACTCGAAATCCTAGCACTCAAGGGGCTGAAGCAGAACTGACAGCAGCTTGAAGCTAGCCTGGCTATGCTGAGACCAAACAAAACAAACAAAACAAACCACGAAAATAAAACCCTATTCTTGGAGAAAATATACAAAAATAGAAGAAAAAACCAGCACTTTTAAATGTTTTTAATTAACTTTTTACTTTAATGTTTACGTGTATGGGTGTTTTGCCTACAAGTACGCCAGTGCACCACATGCAGCAGTGTCTGAGGAAGCCAAGGGGAAGAATGGATTCCGCAAAGACTGCAATTAAAGCCAGCTGCTGACCGCTATGTGGACGCTGGGAGTTCTCAAAGAGAAGCAAGCGCTCTTCCCCACTTAGGCAGAGGCTCACTATACAGCCCTAGCTGGTCCCAATTCAGAGATCCGCCTGCCTCTGCCTCCTTAGTGCCTGACTTAAAAACGTGTGCCACAATGCCCAACTGATCTGTTTGTGTGCACGTGTATGTCTATGTGTAG